GCCCACTACATGCGCGTAACGCATCGGTAGGAATGTTGAGGAAGTAGCGGAGTGACCTCTCGCATTGAAACTATACGTATGGCGAATCCGCATGCGGGGATCGGCACGACGACAGGGCTAGTGATTTCGACAACCGATTTTCCTCAGCGACCTTCCAGTGATGCCCGATCCAAAATGCTAAGAGGGCCCTTGGAGAGAGGCATAGGTCCCTCTCAAACGGCGACGCGTTCCTCTCTCTCTCTCTCTCTCTCTCTCTCTCTCTCTCTCTCTCTCTCTCTCTCTCTCTCTCTCTCTCTCTCTCTCTCTCTCTCTCTCTCTCTCTTCTGGGTCCTTATCATCTATTCTATACGATACTACCACAAGACAAAATGTCTTGTTAACCCAAAGAGGCATGGCCGGCCTCTTGATCATGAAAATTTCTCGTCCCAGGTCGTTAATTCTATTTGATGAAAATATCGCACACACCCCTCCGCTCACTTCTCTCTTCCTGCCTGTGTCGGCAGAGAGGAAAGAGAAAGGACGTCCAAATTCGAGACCTTCACCAGCATGACAGCGGTATAGTAATCTGCTCTCTCCGGCGCGAGTGCATGCCAGTTTTTCAACTCCCTGCGTCCCCCATAGTGCGCGGCCCAAAGTTCGCATTGCATGAATGCCACGTAGAATTATTCCCTGCACCTGCAGCAAAAGCAAAGGGGAGAAAATAGATGGCCCCCCCCTTCAACTGTGGGAACACCACCGCTGCCGCCGTTCTATCCCCACTCACCGCTCTCTTCTCCTCAAACCCAGCCACCTCACCGGACAAACCACCGGCGACAGGGACCACCGGCGACAGGGATGCACACAGGCTCTGGGTTGGAATAAGCGTAGCCAGGAGAGCGCAGCCGAGACCAGAAGACTCGCCGTCTCTCTCTCTCTCTCTCTCTCTTCTCCGACGGGTTTCAACTGTAACTGTATTGGATGCCCAGTCCGACCTTGGGGTTCTCACCGATGGGTCCGCCGACGCGCATCTTCTTGGGCGGGCTCACCATGTCTGACCGCATGTCCTGCCCGGGACCGTGGCCGTTGCTGAACTTGCGCTTGTCCGTACCGCTCTTAGTGATGCCAGAGAACAGCTTCGCCTGCAACCTAGCACTCTTCTCCGCAGGCGCCGGCGTGCCGTCGGGCGACCCGGCAGAGCTGGCGACCTCGAAGCTCTCGCGCGGGTCGCGACGCAGCATCTCCGAGGCAGCCTGGCTGGCCTGGCTCTCATAAACATCGTCGTCGTCGTCGTCATTGCTGCCGCCGTTGGGCAGAGGGCGGCGGCCGTTGCGTGATGCACGTGATGTCTGAGACAGGAACGAGGTCGACTTGGCGACGGACTCGAGGGCCTGGCGCGCGAGCTCCTCGTTGTCGTCGGCCGAGATGGTGCTCTCGCGGCTTTTTCGGGCGCGCTCCTGGATCCGTCTCTGGATGGCCGGCGGCGGTGTGCCAGGAACTGTGTGGGCGTTGCTGTACTTGTGCCGAGGCTCGCTCTGCGGGACTAGATTCGCAGACGGCAGGAGCGCAGACATCTGCTCGTGGCGCTGGGCGCGTGACAGGGGTGTCGTCGGCAGCGAGGACAGAGACTGGGCGTTTCGGGTGTGCTTTGCAGGCATGCGGGACGCAGGTCTGACCACCGTGGTGGGCGTCGTAGGCGCGCTGTTGTTGTTGTTGTTGTCCTGGCTTAGAGCTTGCAGCAGAGCCGCAATGGGTTCCGGCCCGTGGTCGCCGTCTACCCTGGCCTCGCGGCGGTTGGCCGACCGGGGCGTCTGCTTCGGGGTGGTTCGATGAGCCGGCTGGGGCGTGGAGACGGTCTGCTGCTTGGGCGTCATGGCACCGTGAAAGATGCCGCCCGGGCTGCACAGCATATGAAAGTGCTCCCGATTCTCGCGGATGCGGTTGAGGAGCACGTCGCGCTCTTCCGTCAATGCAATGATTTCCTCCTCCTTTTGTGAAATGACCCTCTTAGCCATCTTGACGCGGCGGGCGAGAGCGTCGTTCTCGTCCATGGCCTCCTCGTACCACATCTTCATCTGGAGGTACTTCATCTGAGCGGATTCGGAGGCGGCGCTAAGCTCGCGGACGGCGTGGCGCGAGTATTCGGCCGTCCTAAGGGCCTCGATCTCCCGTCGGGTCATCTCGTGCTCCACCGCTGCCCGCTTCGCATCCTCGTCGGCCTGGAGGCTGAGCAGGTTGTACTGTAGCTTGTGGTGGGCGGCCTCCATCTTGAGCTTGGCGTGCTCGGCGATGCTCGCCTGCATCATGGCCCGTAATTCGTCGGCCGTCGCTTCGAGAACCTGTTGGGGCGCCGGGGAGACGTATTCCGTGTGGAGGCCACCGTCGCGTCGGGGAACAGAAGGGTTGAGGCCGGTAGCGGGCGGCGAAACGAGAGCGGAGCGGTGGGAGGCGCCGTATGCAGTCTGGAGAGCGCCGTTGGCGGCGTGGGCAGCAAGCTGCGAGGAGGGAGGCGGTGTCAGGGACGAGGGAATGACGGCGGAGGAGCCCAGACGGTCATCGTTGACTTCTGTCTTGAATGACTGGCTGAGGTCGATGGGAGAGACGGGGACTTCAGTGGATGGTAGCGTGACATGCGGCGAGTTCAATACTAAGATGCCATTATCCTGGGGCGTCGTGGGCTCGTCGGCGACAGAGCGGGTGTCGGTCGGGGTGCCGTTAAGCTGATGCTGCTGATGCTGCTGCTGCTGCTGCTGCTGCTGCTGGGCACCAGCATCGGAGTGGGCAGCCATGGTGGGGGCGAAATGCGGAATGGGTGAGCGACGAGCGACAATGTGGAAGCTACAACGCGCGGTATTGGTGGTGGTGGTAGTGGCGGTCGGTGGAAGGTATTGATGGGAGATGGGAATGCGTCGTCGTCAATTGTAGCAGAAGGAAGCGCGGGGCATGTGCGACTTGCTTGGATGTGTGCGGAGACAAGAATCGCGTTAGGTACCACGTCAGCGGTGGGAACGAGGAAACGTGGATTGGTTGAGAGAGAGAGCCGGGGGCGGTGATGCAGACACAGGGCGAGAGAAAGGTGAGAAAGCGTCGGATTGGCCGTTGAGATATAGAGAGAGAGACTAGACCGAGGTGGCGGGGAGGGGGGTAGGTAGGTAGAGGAGCAAAGGCCTCTCTCTCTCTCTCTTTCTCTCTACCGTACTCTCACTCTCTCTAGTGTGTGTGTGTTTCCGTGCTCGACGCCTTTGTCTGCGGACGGGATGGTTCGTGTTGTTTGTGGTGTGTATGTGTGTGTTGTGTGTGGGTGTTTTTTGTGGGTGTGTGGTGTAATGGCAATTGGTTGACGGGCGGTTGCTGTGGGAGCAAAGATAAACGGAGCATTGGAACCAAAGGAGAAAGAAGCACGGGTGCACAATCAGTGAAATGTCCGAATGGGCTGAGCGGGCTGGGGAAGGAAGCCACTACCTACACCACCTACTCCGTACACACACTACACACTAGAACGGGGGAAGCTTGCCTGACCTGGACGGGGAAACCACGGCGGGGGGAGGAAAAACAGAAAAGGAAGGCTGGCTGGCAATGGGTGGTGGTGCTGGGCTGAAATGGCGCTAATCCGCATCTGGTCCATTGGTGAAATGAGCTAGTCCTATGAGAGGCGAGGTGAGAGGCACGGCCCCTGCGGCTAGGAAAGGACAAGCTCCCTCATTGGTTTTCTCACCGAGGCTCCTTTGTGCCCTCCCAGAGCCGCCCCCTTTTTCCATCGCATCCATCCATCTCACGAAAAAAGCCGCCAGAGGCTGGGGACGGAAGCCCATGGCAATCGCTTCATGACATCCAACCTCCAAATGCCCTGATCAAGTAAGGACTGGTCTGTTTGAAATTTCCTCACTACTGCTGTGGGAGATTACAACCGGCCAAGGCAGGCAGGCAGGCAGGCAGGCAGGCAGGCAGGCAGGCAGGCAGGCAGGCAGGCAGGCAGGCAGGCAGGCAGGCTGGCTGGCTGGCTGGCTGGCTGGCTGGCTGGCTGGCTGGCTGGCTGGCTGGCTGCTGGACTTGTGCAATCAGAATCAGTCAGGCCTTGAGATAGTCCAACAACACCTCATTGAATTGCCCAAAGTTGTCGACAAACGGCGCGTGGCCCGCCTTTGGAATCACCTTGAGCTCAATTTTCTTCTCTTTGCCCGCCGCCTTGAATCCCGCCTCGACCTTTTCCCGCATTCCCTCCATGGCCTGCGGCAGGTTGGCGTCCTTCTCGCCCACTATTAGCAACGCCTCGTCCACCCCCGAGCCTACTCTCTCGAACAGAGGGCGGATGTCGAACTTGTCGCTCTGCAGAGCGTGGCAGCACGATTGGAAGCCCTCGACCGTAGTCTGGTTCATGATGGCCCGCGCGCGGCTCGCCTCGTCCGGGTTGGCCTTGACCCAGTCGGCGCCGAACCAGCGGTCCATCGTCTGCTCCACCTGCTCCTGCATGTTGCCCGCCTCGCCCGCCGCCTTGGCCCGCACGCCGAACGTGTCCTCGACGCCGGCCAGCTTGGGCGACGAGCTGATGGTGTCGCAGATGATCAGTTTGCGCACGATGCCCGGGTACTTTGTGACAAAGTAGAAGCTCGTCGCGGCGCCCATCGACACGCCCACCCACGCAAATAGCCTGTCGACCTTGAGCGAGGTGACGAGGAAGTGCACATCGTCAGCCATCGTCTCGAACTCGGTGTCGAGGGCCTTGGGCGCCGACGACTTGCCGTGCCCGGGCTGGTCAAAGCGCAGCGTGCGGAACCCGTTGTCGTGGAGAACCTCGATGACGCGGTCCCAGAGCGCGAATGGTGCCGAGAGCGGGTTGGCCAAGAGGACGACGGGCTTCGACTCCGGGCCCGATAGGTCGTACGAGAGGGCCCGTCCGTCTGGGAGTGCGACCCGCTGCGGCTGTTGTTGCTGTGTGGATGCCATCGTGTTGTTTCGTGACCCCTCTTTCTGCCCAAGCATTGGTTTTGGGTCAGTATTCACTGGTCGAATGGAGATTGAGGAAGAGGAAAAAAGAAAGTGAGGTTGAACTGCTTATCGAATCATCAGTTGCTCGATAAATGAATTGGCAGAAAGAGATAGAGAACGAGAGTGAGGTCCTCCGTGATAATATCGACGGGACGAACTCCATCTTTTGCGACCTTTTGAGGCCTTCACGTCATCATCATGTGACGTCGCGGGGTCGGATCGGAGGGGAAGCTTCGGGAGCTGGCGATGGTGGGGAGCTCCTACCCGGCATGGCATCCGATGCCTACCTAGCTAGCTCTAGGTAGGGTGAACAATGCTCCCATTAAGCACTCCCATTAAGTACGTACCCCGAGCAGGTAGGTACGATACCGGTACGTTCCTGACTTGCTTGCTTGCTTCCTTCCTTCCCTACCTTCTGTGGGCCTGTTGGTCCGTCCGTCCACACAGATGGTGGCAGACAACCAACATAGGCATACCGCCAGTATGTGATAGATAAATGCATTGCAGGTAGTATCCGTACATTACTCCGTAATTAGCCCGCCAATTCTCGGGTACCAGACAGATATGGTCAAACATCAACAAGCTGAGAAGGAAAAAAGGCAAAAAAGTGAGGTGCGTCAAGGACAGGATTCGAACCTGCGCGACCGAAGCCACTGCCTACTCTGGAATCAAGGTTTGATAGCAGGGCAGCCCATTAACCACTCTGGCACCTTGACTAGTGACTATTGATAATAAGTACCCCACCTATGACTCTTATGTAAGGAGAGACTTGGGGGCTCGCAGCATCCCCTTGCGTACATTGATGCTAGCGGACCATAGGGGAACGGCGACAACACCAACGGGCTCTGGTGCAGTGAAATGAACGAAAGAAAGACGGCTTTGGTGATTTGAATCAGCTGCACTCGCTCTGGGGCATTTTCATGGTGTAGAAAAGAAGCAAGACAAGTTATCGGAAGAGAGTAGCGGCCACAAGGAAAACCTTTGCTGGCCCGTCGCACTGAGCACCGGTTGTCCTGAGATCCAACGACACATTGAGACCAGGATCCCTGGTTGACGCCGCAGAGCAAAAAGCAACTACGCAACACCCAGTCCTACATGTCTGCTCTGGAGCACACAGGTAAACCCAGCACATAACCACCAAGACATATATCTACAACTGAAGGGCACTTTCTGTCCAGCTGCTGATTCCAGCTACAAGATTGTCACCAATGCTTCCGGCGTAGCTGTCTTCTCCCACACGCGTTCAAACCAGTCATTCCTTTCACCCCGGTTGCCGCAGATGACTTCCAGCATCCCTACACGCATGTAGCTACTCGTCGCGTCTCTGGCGACAACCAGGAAGAAATCCCGTGTGCGCGTCGAGAGCGTCCCCTTGTCCGTCTTGAGCCCCTTGACGTACAGCAGCTCGGCCGGTAGGAACAGGCAGTGCCTGCACGGTCCCGGGTGGGCTGCCGGGTCGCCGTTGCGGAGAAAGCAGCCCTCCATCCGCTCGACCGAGGGATCGACCCAGAGCTCCGACTTGACGGGCCCGAACTCGAGAGGTGCCGCCCCGGTTACCGGGAGACAGTCCTGCCATTCTCGCTGATCCTCGCGGGCGTAGAGTAAGAATCTCCCATAAACCCTGTCTGTCCAACGTCGCTTCACGTCCCACCGGGAGCATGGCCGCTGTATCAGCACCGGCATCCGCTTCGCCGTCACTTGGAGGAGCCCGTAGGACACGGACCCGAACGGATCCGCACCTGCGGGAGGGCAAATTACTTTACAGGACTTGGCCTTTATCCCGGGCGTCTTGTAGTCCAAAACCTCGGCACCTTGGAAGACGGGGTGGCCCACTTTACAACCGCTTCCCGTCGAAGCCCACGACCAGGACGGAGCTACCCAGCCTCGCTTGAGCATCTTCGCCCGCTGGTACCTCCAGTCGGCGACCGCGACGACGCGCCACATCAGGTCCTGCTCGAGGTTGTTCATCCAGAGCCCGGCGAGGAACGCGTCGTCGTCGCCCACCAGCTCGGCCGTCTCATGTGCCAGCCCAGAGAGCGCGGGCAGCATGTCGCTCGTCTTTGTGAGGTTGAGGCACGTGTACTCGCTGATCACGCGGTGCCACCGCTCGTAGGGGTCAATCTTGCCGGCTTTTTCGGTCATGATGGCGGTGGACGACGACGCGGTCCTGTGGTTGTTGAGCAGCGCCAGATACGTCGACCTGGAGCGGAGAGGCGTGTACGTCCCCGCGAGATCGATGACGTTGTGCCAATTGTAGTGTTGCTTGCCTCCGCACTCGCAGGAGAAGCCGTTTCCACAGTCGAACGCCATCTCCCCGTAGTTGCAGTGGATGATGCGGCGCGACAGGAGACGTTCTTGGAGGCACCACGCCCTGTTGAAGAGAGGGAGATATGCCTGAACACGACCATACTCTGACGTGCTGTCTCGCTTAGCGCCAATACCGAGCGCGATGGCGAAGTCGTCTCCGTCGGGGTTCGTCATCTTGAAGAAAAACGAAGGTATTGTCCGTGAGTAACAGCCGCCTTGAGGGTCGTGAGACCAGCTGACAGCGATGGTCGCGTACGAGTTGCGGTAGACGTTGACCATCTGCGCGGCTTCCTTTTCCCAGTCGTCCTTGTCGTCCTGGATGATGCAGAGGGAATCGATCCACAGGTAGCGGACGCCGAGTTTCCTCGTCAGTTCTACTGCGTGCTGGAAGCTCGGGGGAAGCAGGTCCCACGGAATGAGGTTCAGTCTCCTCCTAAGGCTGTCTTTTTGCGTGATGGATTTGATTTTTATCTTCCCCCAGCAATGGCTGAGACATATGTAGGTGCCGATTTGGCCAGCCGTCTCAACTAATCGAACGCCGGCCCTATCTCCAGGTTGTGTCACGTCTATGAGTCTCGTTGGGAGTTCCGTGTCGATGCCCTTGCCGCATTGTTCGTGGCCCGTCTCGCAGTCGTCGAGCCAGTTTCGTATCCTGTGAAAGCTGATAGGGGAAGCCGTGTCCCCAGCCAAGCCGTTCGTGCTTGGAAATCGACGGAAAACGTTGACTGATCCGGCAAGGTTGAGCAGTCTCAGGTAATACTCTTTGCCGTCCGGCGCGGCCAACTCCAGGGTGCCGCTGTGTCTGACGGTCCATCGGATAGCAGTAGACGGCAGCAGCCCCCCATAATGATGGCATGGGACGGCGTCGAGAATGGTCTTGACAGCTTTGCAGCTTCCACAGCCATTCGAGGCCGACTTCTCCAGGTGCCCATAGGTGAACAGCTTTCCTTGGACAGCTCTGTGCTTCCCGTGCCTGACGACCTCTTCATGCGACGCCTGAGAAAGTTTTATGGCATCCGGGGAAAGCTTCTGTCTTAATGCGTAGCCTGCGCAGTTCAGTAGACAGCCCGCGGTGCCGAGCATGTCGAAGAAGTCAAATGACTTTGCTTTCGTCGTCGTGTCAATATGTGAGCCATTCTTGAGAGCGTCGTCCAAGGAAAGTGGTACGATCTTGGTTGTCATGGTGCGAGACAAGTCCAGTTGGTCTGGGCTAGTGATCGAATCGACGAACAGCTTGGGGGGTAGTAGTCTGGCCACGCCAGTCATGTCGTACAAACAGAGCGCAGTAAGCCCTGCACGCCTCCCAACTTTTCAAGCCACCTGCAGTTCCTATCACACCTCCAGGCCATAAGCACCAAGCGTAAGGTGTGAAGTGACTCTTCGCAGTCATTCTCGGCTCAGAGGCACTGCAGCCAAGTCGGTGCTTCCATCGCTACTTGGCGACACGGCGCGATTTGACCTCTCCGATTCGAAATCGCCGTTTCCCGCAGCAATGCAGAGCTATCTAAGCTCCAGGAATCTACACTGTGGCAGTCGACAGTATTTATTATAAAGTCTAGAAAGCTCAAACCTCGGCGTAGTATCTACTTGAGCATGTTTAATCACACAAGTATACATCTTTACGTTATTACACTCGCAGATTATAACTCTAGACCGTTGTAAGCTAGTTATAGCTGATTATTTACAACCAGTGGACCCCATGACATCGTTCTCATCGCCTTTGCCGAATTATTAGATCTATCCAGTGACCCAAACATGCTCCTCTTCGCCGTAGTTAGATCCTCAGCCTGCCAGTTCTAATTCCTTTTGTGATGGAACAAGTCCTACTGCAACAACGGCTTCTCTTCCTTCTTCATCATTCGCCGTGTCGCGTATCGAAAATGGATCATAGAATGTAGGTGGCACACGTAGCTAGGACGAGTCCCTTAGTTTTATGTCTGCTCGCCCTCGATTCCTCACGGTGATGCATACCCTGGTTTATCCTCACCCTCTCTCTTTGAGCAGAAATGCTAGGTAGGACCAAGTGCTATGCCCACGTAAAGCTACATGAAACCGTCGCAAGATTTCTAGCGAAACACCTTGGGTTTTCGCCTCGTGGATACGAGCACGAGTTTGCTCCAGCAATCAACGTTTACACACGTGACTCTCAGTCTCCATCTGTAGTGCTACTTGGAGCGCTTGGAAAGTTCAGCCGGCGTGATGCAGCAGCTCATTATTGAAGTTGCATCTATTGAAATTGAGAAACTGCCCTGCAATCTATCGGTGGGACTTGACGAGAATATTTGACGGTTTTTCAATAAGAAAACACCGACAAAGTAAAGCATATCAACCAAATGAGTTTCCCCGTCAGCCCTTGCACTGGCTTGCAGGGTGTTTGCGGTATGGCGATGGGTCGTCGTCCTGGCAAGTGAGTATTCGGCTCTTTATCAAAGTAATGACCGCCACCTAGGCCTTTCAAGACTAGTTTACGCTTGGTTCCCTCCTCTTCAAAGCTAGTATAGGTGCAAAACTTTGCAAGCAAACGCTACAGATCAACGCTTACTGGGGTTTGGCACAGAGTGCCAGATGGCCAACACTCTCCTCAGTAAGACAGTATGATAATCGAATGACAATTGATGTCGATTACGGGAACTGGAGCTTACTAGATCTTGTACAACACACAATTCTGTTCCTCAAAGAGTTAGAAGGGAAATTATTTACCGTGAATGCTGCAAATATGCATTCATGCAATCCGTACGACGGCAGGGTTGTCTTTTTCTGTAAAAGCCTGCATATGGACACAACATGGATCAAATGGTTTGTAGTCGTCAAGATTGGAGGCCGTATTTGGTATATATTTATATGGTATCCTGGACACACCTGCACAATGTCCACCGCCATTTTAGCGAATCTTGTATTCTCTACCCAAAAAGTAGAGAAAGGGAGTTGGGATAACAGAACCCGGACCTGCCTACCTGAAGAGCCGTGTCTGCTTGGCAAACCGGTTATCATAGACTATCTTTGGCGTTTATTCAGCATAAACCATACATAAATCGGGTTGGAAACAATCATGGCATTGAAGCCTCTCGTGGCTTTAATGCTGTTTTGGGCATTGGCTCAGACCGAGTCCCTCCCCGATCATCAACAGCATTTTGCCGTGCGGGACTTCCAGAACTCATCGCAGCCGCTAATCCAGCCAACATGTACAAATGGGCCTAGTAATTGTCTGACGCGCATGGAGCCAGGCCTGGACATGACGAAAGTGGGTTAAAACTCAGACAGCCTCCTACCCTTTCGACCAGAGAACTAAACATGTCTAGACAAGTGATCCGTTCCCAAAGAACTCATCGAGTAACCATATTGAGTTATCTACCTCGAGGGTGACTGTTCCATTAGTTACAGTCACCTCGGCGGCATCTTTCATAGATCCTCCTGGACCGGCGCCATTTCGCCACCTTCAACGATCAACTCCCGAAGTGCTCTCTGGGCCAACTCCACCACCATGTCGACTGACGAAGCTACTATCACAGCCACTCTCACAACAACAGTTGACCACACAAAGATAATTCAGAGCCCGTCAGAAGTTCCCGCGCTTGGGAATTATTCGACTTCGGGGCTTGGTCCTCCGTCACTGTCAAGTACTTCGTCCCTGTCATCGCCATTATCGAAGGCCTCTGCAACCGTTGAACCTCGATCAAGCGAGGTATTCGCAGGTTCTAGCCCTGAGCAAACGACAGGGCCCATGTATACCGCATCTTCTTCTGCGTCCAAACTCATATCCAGGCTTCCAAATGTGACGTCGAGTAATGACCTGGATGTCAGATGGACACCGTCTATAGTCGTTCCTTCTATCTCGAGGATTGTCTCAGCCTCGACGAGTGCCTCGGTCTCGACAACTGATCCACCAACCATAACGGTCCTGCCACCCGAGGCGGTTCTGATTACACCGACCGGCATTACATTGACAACCCCGCACTATATTACCACAACATCATCGGGCGGCAGTGATTCAACCATAGTTCCAGGTTAGTCTTGGAAACCATACATAGTACCCTGGTTGACCCAGAACTAACGGCATCTAGTTATCTTCCCGTTCTCAGGACCTCCGATCATCTGCTTTGGCTGCTTCATCAAATTCCCTCCCAACATCTCGATTAAAGTCCCCCAATTCTGCATCCAACTCTTTGGCCTCAAGATTTGTAATTGCCCGGCCGACGATGAGAAAGACGATGGGGGTGACAATAAGGACGACGATGACGACAACAAAGACGACGACGACGATGATGATGATGACGACGACGACGACGACAAAGATTCCAGCAAAACCGGGTCCACAACGTCGACCTCTTCAACCTCGTCTTGCACCGTAACTGTCACTGCCGCCCAACAGACAGCCTTCTGTTCTATAACCAGAAGTGGGTCTTACTCAGAAGTCATTAAAATGTCTTCAAGCCCCAATGCTGATGTTTCTATCTTGATAGGCGTCAACTCTGGTACCCCAACGCGTACTGCTGCGAGCACTACGTGTCTGACTAGTGCGTACACCACCGTCACCGGCTGCAGCGTCCTCAACTCCATCACCACGGTAACTACCACGCGGTCGTCTGTTCCCACACCATACCCTCTCTGTGGTCCGCACTGTGGCAGTCGGGAATGCCCAGTGCCCGGGCCCAGGGGACCAGGTCTTTCAGTGCGCCAAATGACGGAAGTCGGAACGGCAGACGAACGCGAGTTAGCGGATCCGATAATCGAAATATCTCGGCCGATATTTCACGCCGGCTTGGCCGAATCCAAAGTATCAAGACGTGGCGAACCATACCTCGGAGAGTGGGTTGATCCAAGCGATTATGACGATGATTACTACAATTTCTGCGTGGACCAGTTCAAATTTATGCGCACGCAGGACGAACAAAGACCCCAAAATCTAGGGGATCCGTATCACGAAACTAAGCTTCTGCTCGACGGCCCCGATATCGATGATCCAGTGAAGAACTTGAGGGTCAGGTCAAACTGGCTCGTTTTCGGGGATACAGTTCAAACAATGGGAGCCGAGAGCCTGCTGGGCTGCACGATATTGTTGGTCGTTAGCCGCAGAGGTGCGTGGGTGTCTAAGTTCTTTGAGAAAACTCTTGACGACCCCGACATTCTGGAAAAAGCCTTGGAGCAGATGAGATTTGGACCCAGGGAGGTAAACGATGCGAACCAATATTTCCAGTATGGGATCGAAGACCTTATGAAACAACCAGAGCGTGGAAAACTCGGTACTCTATTCGGCGATCGAGACGGATTGGCGGCTGAAGAAGACCCCATTCATGCCGTTCTCTTCACCCCTCGCCCACGACCATATGTTAGGGATCCCGACGGCAATGTTATCGATCACCCAGATACACACAGCTACTACGTAAACGAGGGCCAGCTCTTGTACCGACCTGATGTTCGGCAGATCGGAGTCGTCCTCAGTACACTGATTCGCCGTCGTCTTTTAACCGTGATAGACTACCCTCCAGTAGTGCTCCGTGTGGATGAACTGTCTGACGACACTGATTGGGAGACGAAGCTGGTAGATAGAGCTCGTGACACCCCACGTGGGAAGGTCATGATCCAGTACCAACCAGCGAAGACATGTAACGATAAGGCCTCGTGGCGCTGGTGGGTCGATGCCATGCCGATAGAAAACGCGTACCCCGGCGCAAAAATGATGTATCAGTGGGACCCAGAGGCTGATCAAATCTTTACTCGACTCCGAGGCGCCGGCGCAGGCGGACTAGCCCCCAGACAAGAGTGTCCGGTAAGAAGCAGGCCGGCCTCCTCTGAGCCCAGTCCTACTTTATCAGAGCCGCCTCAATCCTCACAACCAACCCCCCAAGGAACCCTGGGAAACCTACGAGTCCGGATGCAAGTGAAGGAGGAACACAGGTGCTCCCAACTGGGTCAAACATTGTCAACGGTACAGGGGCTCCGACACCATGGAACAATTCAATGACAACAGTCCCGAGCGGCAGCGATGGCACAGTTGCATGGCAACTTCCGACATTGCTGTCATCTTTGGACCGGACCTCTGCTTCGACACTTCAAAGCGATATTGCACAGACAACTCTAAGTCACAATGGTACAGCCAACCTGCCTACAACGACATCATGGTCATTGAACGGGACAACGGCTCCAGTTCCTGGTACCAACTCGACGGTCCTGAGCTCGAACCTAGCAACAATGAATAAAACCACGACCAGCACGGCATTGATCGGGACGAAAATTCAAACATTGGGAACTGGAATGTCCGCATCTAAGCTGACCACGAACAAGACCCCCTCCATCCACACTACGATCTACGTGGCTCCCCTAACATGGCCCGTTACCTCATTATTGCCAACTACTTCGTCAGCCATCCCGATAAGGCGAGTTACAGTCACCGCCTCGGTCGAAAAGTCGGTCGTGAAAACGGTTACAGTATTTACGTCAACAGTAACAGTACGACCTCGAGAAACAAAGCCTATCCAGCCAGCCAAGCCGGAACTGACAGAAGCGATCCTTGTCATGCTCGAGCACGTCTTGGCCGGGGGGAGTAGGGGGGTGGTTTTCACAGAAATGTGGGTGATGCTCCCGGTCAAAGTTGACACTACAGTCGACTACTGCGGCGTGTCAAATATAGGATACAAAATCACCGACTCATCCTCGTCGGATCGAGCGTGGTCCCCAAGCATAAGCGCCAAGAAGGGAAGCAATGCTTTCGGAATGAAAAGCTGCAAGTACGAAGCAAGTACCGCGGGGTCCGGGTCGATAAGCTGCGATGGGGCTTCTAAGATGAACTGCGTCAAAGATCCGGAGTATGATAAGGCCTCCAAGTGCTACAAGGGCTGGGAGATCAAGACTTGCACGCCACGCATGCGCTGCATGCTTCGAAAATAGCGAAGATGGTAGGACATCGCGGCGAAAATCATTCTTGTGTAAAGACGATGCCACGACACCTCCTAGGTGATCAGCTATAGCCCTTCGTTGTGCATAACGGGGCCGACAAATAAATACCATCTTCGCCTCATGTGCAGCGTCGATCTAGTATTGCACATGTGTCAGATAACTCTCTCCATATCCATATCCCTTCCATGTCCAGGAGTAGCCTATGTATCTCAAGCGCGAATGAGCTTGAGCCTCGAGAGACCGGGACTCGCTGTCGGTGCTGCGAACTCATTTGACTGGCGAAGCTAACTTCTCGAATCTATCGATGCAGAGGCCTGGAAATTATGTAGAGAAAACAGTTCTGACATATGGGCAAACACAGGTGGGCTCTCCCTTTTATTAACACGCCGAGTCTAAGCTTGCCTTCAAGATAATCATAAATATACCGTTCATTCATCATCACCATGGTACACATCCCAGCATCTGATGGCTCTCAGCCCATCAAGGTTTCGTACCCCTTGTCCATCATAACGTCCATCCAATATACATCGTGTTTCTGACTGTCCAAACAGGCCCAAGTCTCTTTGACAGGCTTTAGCATTTGTCTTATTGGATTTGCAGCCCAAAATCCCCTCGAAAGATGTGAGCCGTGAGACTATGAGTCGTCTCGCATGCAGGACATCAGTGATTGTTGGCGACACCTTCATTCTTGGACTGGACCCGATGCTAGCGACGGCGCTCTTTTTCATGTATGGAGCTGGCACTAACGTACGACCAAGAGAAAGCTCGCTGCAAATGCTGACAAGAAGAAGTGGCTGGATAGACCGAGATCGTGAGGAAATCGGAATATCCTGTACAAGATCGATTACATGGAGGGCAAGACTCGTTAGCCATGTACCTAATATGACACTGGAATCTTCAGAGTGGCTGCAACTGGCGCTTTCGGAAGTCTCCAACCAACTTGGAGGGCTTGCGAGAGTGACAGGCGATGTGCCGTCGAATAAGAGATCGGGGAAGTTACGATAGAGTTGCAAAAGCCCGGTGCATCTGTAAGCCTCTGCTGTTTTTAGTAGATGATCGGTGGGGGTCATATCATCGCCCGAGTCCATGACTGCCGCTTTTCTTGGAAGGTCTAGCGCGCATAACTTGGCTTGAACCTGTTCTGCGGTTCGTATGGCGTTGATGGACTGTTCAATGTCATGTCTCGATGAATGCTGGCGTCGACGAATACGTCTACGCTCTTTCCTGACCAGAGCCCCAGCCTGAGCGACAAGCTCGTGAACATCGACGCCAATGCCTGTCTGTGGATGCGGCATCACTACGTTTTTTTGGGTTGACACAAAGGCCGGCTGTGGTTGGATCTCTCGAGTGGCGCCTAGAATAGGCAGTTCTTGATCGGTGACTAAGGACAATAACATCTTCCAGTAGACGAGAGAGTTGTGGAAGAAGAACCTCTTTTGCTTTTCAATTGGCGTCAAATTGCCGCTCTGGCTGTCCAGATGGGTTACCGTCTCAGCAAGGAGTTCAAACTCTGACTGACCGAGGCTACTGGGGTCATGCCAACAAAGACTGAAGCCGAGCATAACCAAGGCCAGCAGTGATGACGTAGCTGTCTGGTCAACTCTGCTTTCGTTCCACAGGGAGCGAACCGCTTGGTCCCGAAGGCGACCGCTGGCCGTGACTAGGCCTGGCGAAACCTCTGATAGACAGGCTGCTGCCATGCTCTGGGTGACATAATAAAGCGTGGGTGAGGTGCCCCAGAGGTTTGCAATGGTTGTCCTGTAGGGGTTCAACTTGCTGTCGTAACAAGACATCATGCCGCACACTTCCTTAAAGTAGTACTCTACTAGTATCGAGGAATTATCTTGCAAGGAAGGTGAAAGCAAGCATCTCGTGTCGGCATGGCGGAGACGAAGCCAATGGCGTGACTCGCCCGACCATGCTGGTAGTAGCCTCTGCATTGTCTAAAGTGAATCCTTGGGACACGCCCCTCGTACTCGTTCCGCAGGACTGAAGGGAAGAGACTGTCACTGCGTCGGCGGAGGGTATTGAGTGGTCTTTTTCGATGGGTTCATTCGAGAATAGGAAGAGCGGTTCTGTGCTGTCTGTGCCTTGGAAATCGAGGCTCCCAGGGGTGTTCATATCCGTGAATTGATTGAAGAAGTGCATGTCGCAAAGCTCTTTTCCGGACTGATCGTACAATTGAGATCCATCATTAAGAGTATTTTCAGGTGACTGAACAATGCTCGCAGACCCATTGCTCCCTGGGGTTGCAGGATCACGTCGGGGCGGTCTCGAGGACGTATTAGTCCATTTCAATGGCGTCAAATACCCGGGACAGGATATGCCAAGCCTTTGACAACGCGAGCAATAGGGTTTTGCTTCATCGCATTTGAGCTGTTGATATAAGCAGTCAGCAGCTGTCATTAGCAGCAGCAATTGCCAGCGTTGATCATATCGCACCCTTTTCAATTTGCAAACAGCGCATCCATTGCGGGACCGAGTGGTGGTCTTACGCGTTGACGGCAGCATCGGACCGTTATCAAGATGTCCCGGAAATCACACAGAAAAAATGATAGTAATTCCCCGTCACCTAGCAAGGCTGAATCCGGTTACTTCGTGCTCATACCCGGCACGGATGCGTTGAATGAGGAAACTAGTGTTGTCAGAACTTGGGTTCAGGTGGCCACGGTCAACAAAGTGCATCTCGGTAATGCAAATGACTCGCGCTAGAATGCGGGGGCTTATCGGAGGTTCGAGGGGGGGCTGCATGATTACGCATCCAAAGGGGCCACTCGAGGCGAAGGATATATTTGCCAGAAATGGTATCGATGATCAAAGCTATGCATTCGACCCTTCTTTCAATCCAGCTTCGATGGCAGTCGCTGGAGCATACATGTAGCTGATGCCACAGCCGGTACACCGGTAAGTATAATCAAGTTTGGTCCTGCATCTACACCATGGCAGCCGTTGCAGGAATACAAACGTTCAAGGTTGCACTGGTACAGACATGCCCCAAGGTGAGCTGCCGAATGACCGTATCACCAAGGTACATCGGTAAACTTATACTGATGATGCTTGCTTTTGTCTGAATAGGTTCTTGATGCGGAGCACAACTTCGCATATGCGTCAAAACAAATTCGTCTGGCAGCAGCACAAGGGGCATCGCTGGCCGTCTTGCCTGAATACCATTTGACAGGGTGGATGCCGGAAGAGCCGTCGTTCGCCCTGACCCCTGAAGCAGCTTGCCACTTCCAAAAGCAATACCGGGAACTCGCAGCAGAACTACACATCAACATCTGTGCGGGGACTATTGTCTCGCAGGCACCGGAGAGCCAACCGTCAGGCGAAACTGGCGCAAAGTCGAAACCAACTCTTCTCAATACGTCTTATTTTATTGATCACAATGGTCGGCTACTCGGCGCGTATACTAAAACCAACCTATGGATCCCTGAACGCAACCATCTTACCTCCAGCGTCGACTATGCCCATAAGATGAACCTCACCGAGGGCGCACCCGCGACAGGACCTCATCAGGTCTTCGACACACCCCTCGGACCAGTTGGAATTCTGGTATGCTGGGATCTTGCATTCCCTGAGGCATTCCGGCATCTCGTTCTTGCAGGAGCCAAGATCATCATCGTGCCTTCGTACTGGACTCTGTCAGATATGAGTCAAGAAGGGCTTAAATACAACGTCAACTGCGAAAAGATGTTCGTGGAAACCACTCTAATCACACGCGCGTTTGAGAACACTGTCGCGCTCATCTACTGCAACGTTGCCGGGTCAGCGGAGCAAGGGTTCTTTGGATGCAGCCAAGTTGCTTTGCCCATCGTTGGCAAAGTTCCTGGAAGCTTTACCGATGGCGAGGAGGGGATGCGCTTGGTGGACGTTGACATGCGATTGGTGGAGATAGCAGAACAGAATTATCAGATTAGAAAGGATCTGAAGCGGGTCGATTGGCATTATGGGTATTCAAAAGTAGCAAAGCTTTAGTGCACATCTCAGAGGATAGGAATGTAGCAAGGATTTGTTGTGTCTGCTTCTTGTGTAAAATTTCCGAGTGAAGAGTTTGCTACCGACCTGAACAAGCTTACATTGGAGGCCAAAAAGCCACCGCCATAGTCAACTAGCCAAGCTCGCTGTCTCTCGGTGACCATGACTATGTTGTCTTTGCTTCAAGTAGTTATTCCTATTGTACTTTTTGACGAAACACACATGGAATTCTAAGTCGCAATCTATGTCAGACAACCATTTAATCCGAAAGTAGGCACGTATATAGCTGAGCTGCCCTAAAAGATCTCTTGGCCCAAGAAACAAGACGAGTCTGCTTCTGATCGAGACAACACCGCTTTCACAGAGTCAACCAAGGATTTAGTCCTTATTATGCCGCAACAGGTCGTCTCCCTTTGGCGAGGGGAATTCTTGGATAGTATCGTTTGCGATTGGGAGCTCCTCTCCAAGAATGAGTTCGAACTTTGGACCATTGTAAGACTTCTTTATGGCAAACCATAAGACCACCGCGTATACAATGAAGATACCAACTACAGCCGTTACATAATCTAGAGGAAGTCAACATCCAGTTCGGAAGCATTGCAGGCAAGCACTTACTCATAGTAGAAATGTTGATTGGGATGGCGGGAGGAAAGCAGAAGAACTAAGGAGTGAACATCAGCAAAGCTTCAGGGCTTGGGCAGGGGTTACTTACAACAGAGGTTACAAGCACGAACAGAACAGATGTCCAGTTAATGGCATAACCAAAAAGGCCTCGACCCAGCGTGAATACAGGTGGATTGGCTGTTACTAGCTGCCGCCCTCTGGCGAGAAGAATCATGACTGGCAGCGCATATGATAGATTCAAAAAGAGAGTGCAACTTGCAATGTACGCATTAAAAGCGACATCAGGGCCTAAGAATGTCAGAATCGAAGGTTTTAGCAATGAAGGGGATATGTTTACTGACCAAGGTAAAGGAGGCCAAACAAAACGTTAAAGATAGCTTGCACAACAATGGCACGAACAGGCACATTCAGTTTTGGGTGTAATTTTGATAGACTAGAGAGCCCCAAGTTAGCCAATGCCACTCATTTTCTGGGAGATTAGAGCGTATACTATTTCGAACAAGGTGTGCCATTGTCTCGAGCCATTGCCCATATGAGGCGGCTGCCGGATGTGACACAGCCGTTGGCTCCATTGAGAAAGCACACAGCTACGGCGACGCTAAGGATAGTTGCGGCTGCTTTACTTCGTGTTGCTTGCAGTATCATTTCTGTCAATGGACTCTGCGTGGGTGAAGCGAGCAGAGCGTCGATATCGACGGCACAGAAGAGCATGACCAGTATGAACACGATTCCACTGCAATATATGTCAAAATACTGATGATTTAAAACTTGAAGCTGGCGTACGTTACTCCGCCGACAAGGACGGCTCCAACCATGGCTTGGGGAGCATCCATGGACGGATTGGGCATCTCCTCGGTCATGTGAGCCACCGCATCGAAACTGTGCAGCGCATATAAGTGGGTATCCTTCATATTGCTTGAGGCGAAAAGAGTACAAACCCAATAAGACTGAGGGCGGACTGGAGTAGCCCAAGCATCCATGCGGTGCCGTCACTCCAGCCTGTGGTATTGGAGAAGTTGGTGAACACAAACTCGGCGTCTGTCTTCGGGGATGTAGCGAGCAGTACAATGCTGATAACGACGACGCTGACCAGGGACCAATACACTGTGACGTGTTAGTGAGAGCGATTGTGAGTAAAGAAAACAATTGGCCTAGACTGACGAGCTCCCTCGTTCCACCGGTTCAAGATTGGGTAGCAAAATAAATTTAGGAACACGCCGGCCATTGAAATTGCGACAAATATCAAGTAGGTGCTCCATTGGGTAATCTGGTAGGTACCGCCAGAACCAGCTACAGCAGCCGCTGCCAGAAATCGGGCTGTTATTCGAGTTACTTAGTCGACGGTCCCATGTGGTATTGTTCTGTGCATTGGCCTACCTCCAAACAATGCAGCTGTCGTGTTCAGAGTGAGCCAGCCCGCAATATTCACCCATCCAACGAAAAAGCTCTAAGGTTAGTTAGCATTATTGTTCAAAGTGGACAGAAACAGAGCTTTGCTAGCCATCATCTTCTTCCACTTTTGAGTTGATAGGGCGTAGGCGTAGTGGTACTGCCCGCCAGCAGTCGGGTAGATAGATGCGAGTTCGCCGACGCTGGCACTCAAACAAATGTTACATAGAACGCAGAAGATGAACCCGTAGACGAATGAGACAGAACCTCCAGATGGCATAACCAAACCGATGGATCCGGCTAGAGAAATCCACGTACTTCGATTGTCAGTGTCAGCATCCCCGATAGCCCGAAGCGACCTACTTCAGAATGGCAAAGGCCATGCCAATCATGGTCAGTTTTGAGAATCGCTTCTCCAGATGGCCATCTTGGCGGTCGGCTGTTTCCGCCATGTCGATTACAGCGGTTTGGTGAGCGAAAGTGTTAGAACCTTGACGTTGAAGCCCAAGTGCCGTTGAAAAGGGCGAACATCTTCCGGCTTATTGATGTCATTTGTGAGGAGTTTCACTTGTCCGTCCCCCTTGGTGTCGCACTGCTAACGAGATAGGTGATAAGCAGTAACATCTTCTCGCTCCACGCGCTTCCTGCCCCGCCGCTACGAGTAATGTAGGGGGTTATCAGACCGCTAAGCCAAAATGGTAATATTATCCAAAGGAAAACCGCGGCCCCACGACGGCTGTGGGTTGGAGATGCAGTTGTGGAGGTCGCTCAGCCGATCATGCCCCGCAAGGGCAGATAACAGTTCCGTTGCGTCAAGACCAGTGTTTGTTGAGGACTCGAACTGCGTAACTTTTCTAACAGCTTACTCCGGACCAATCAACAAGCCCCGATAGATGCTGCCGATTCCCGTAGAGTGCGGGGTACTTTGCACCATTCGAGGCCTTCCAGCCCTCGACTTCATGAGGTTTCGACATGGGCAGGTAAGTAAGTGACTTGAGAACATGGCAAATGAAACAACCGTCAGTTATGCGGTGTTGATGTACAGTGAGCTATCTTCAACCTCTTTTACCCACAAGTTCCAAGGTCGCAACATTGACCATCTCGTAGTACGATCAGATCCACCGCACTCTTCTTTGCTTAAACTCTTTATACCACCTGTAGTCCCTGTCGCCCCTTGGAGCATCAAAGCTGTCGTCTGGATACTGGCATTCTTCTGTGTATAGACCGCCCGCATCACAGCCAGCTCAATGCTGTCTGCCACGACTGTGAACCCATGCCCGCGCATCAACGTCACGTTGTTGCCGCCGTCAAAATGCTTTGCTAGCGCGGCGCCCATGTTCTTCGTGCGCACTAACAGATCTGGGACGTCGCCTTCCTCCATGTGGTCGGCAGCGTCGAAAATTGGGAGGCCGTCGGGACCGAGGAACCCGCACATGTGGCTGACGGCTTTGAGGGGAACACCCGAGATGGTGTAGGGGACCACAGCTTCAGAATGGCTGTGTATCACGGCGTTTATGTCGGGACGTCGCTTGTAGATCTCCGAGTGAATCCGCCTTTCTGCAAAGCCTTGGGCACAATTCGGATCCAAGGGCTCTGCGTCTTCAATATTATACTCAATCAGATCTTCGGAAGAGATCACCTGGGCTGGCGCGATATTTCGAGACATGAAGAATGTGTCCGCACGGTACGGGTGGCGAAATGACAGATGGCCATATGCGTCGACGACTTGATGAAAATGGAGAATGTGGGAACCGTTAACGCATTTCCGAAAATGGCCTTGCAACATCGCACTTTGCTGGGACGATGTCATTTTGGATCAGGAGTTGAATCAGAAGAACGGGAAATGGCCCTGGAGCAACGTAAAAAGCAGACGAATGTCTAGATAAAATTAGAGCGTTGGCCTGGGGGAACACATGCAAGTTGGTCATGGATAAGTTGAGAGTCCAATGGTGGAAATATAAGGCCTCACACTATAGCTAAAATGGCCACGTGCATTGTATGCCAGCCTCAAAAGTAAATTAAAGGTTCTCATGAAACCGGATAGTTGAGAAAAGAAGCGGTGGCAAAGACTTGCAGCGTAAATAATACCCGGCAATCGAAACTACGTCACACACTTCGATGGTCGCCAAATATTCCTCATTAATAATCAGCTGAAGCTTGGACGCCATCACACATTTCTATTACCAAGTCTGCTGACGTGACTTACCCTTCAGTACTACCGTCTAGTCTTGATAAGTACCAGTGATAAATGGAATTCTTGAAACTAATTAGTTGTTTTCTGTGCACAACTCCTATAATCAAATCGAACACATCACTATCTCGCATTAGTTGAGGGCGTTGCGGGAAGCGTTGTCGGGATTTCCACTCTATCCAATACTTGAGCAAAGGATTCTGTATCATAGGCCACCCGATCATCGCAGTAGCCTCATACTGTCGAACCAACTCTGGACGAGATGAATATATGCAGGCCGCCAAACACACTACAGGACACTTCCTCGGATTTCCTTTTCGCTTGAACTCGCGAATGAACCTTGTGGGATTGAATCCGTCCAATACTGGCATTGATATTGTCATCAACATGCATTGGTAGCTCTCGGAATTATTTTGGTATGCTTCGAGGGCTTCCTTGCCGTTATTTACAGCCTCTGAGATGAGACCAAGTTGATCTAGAAACTTTGTCAAAGTTTTCTGTTGGCGTGATTGTCATTGGCGATCAAAATCTTAACGGGTGACGACTCGGTTTCTGTCATATCTCCAGGTAAAGGAGAGTTCTCTAATGCGACTGCTGAATTTTCCGTGACCATATTGGCGACGCGACCCTCGGTTGGAGCGAGGAGGAAGTTGAAGTACACCAGCCTCTCGATTTGCTGAAAGCTGAAGCGGCTGCTCCAGATAAAGTGTGAGGATGGCGGTGGCTTCATGTAGGATGCAACAAAGAGGAGGCTGACGGACTATGGTGGAGGTGGGTTTGAATATCTGTCTAAACGTGGCTGCATGCTCGGCAGCTCAGCTCGCATACAGCTCCGTGAACCCTATGAATAATTCATCCGTGACCAGCATTTTAGGTGTTATTAGTGTGGAAACGCTCACCAGCCTTCAGCCAAAGAACGCTTCTCTAAACTAAAAACTTAGGAAAACTGTTGATGTTGTGACACATCAATACAACCAGTTTTTGGCTTTGTCCTCTGCTGATGCGTAGGTTCCGAGCAGAGGCAATACCGGCAATGTAATTTTGACTGGTCTTACGGTCCGGAGCGTACGCCGTAGCGCGGAATAAGGCCGTTTGTAAGCTTTGTAACAAGTAGTGTACATCGTATTTCCCACCCGTCAAATCTGTTTTTTTTGTTTTTTTCTTTTCTTTTGGAGCTTGCTTCCGAAGCAAACAGTCGCTTGGCCCAAGGGTCATTTTAAACCTTCTTAAAGTTCGGACAGCGACCTCAACGGGGGAACGACGAACCGCCCCAATCAGATTGCCCGGAACACGAGGAATCAGCCAATGCTGCTATTTCCCTTTCGCAGGCTAGGGGCAGAACATCGTCGATGACGGCATAGCGTACTGCGTAGACCGCTGCACGGTGAACAATATAGCATTCCTCAACGGCCGGGGGTTCAATCAACATAAATATATATCTTCCGCTCGGCTCTGGAGACAAATGACCTGCCGGCCCGTACTTTGCAACGAAGGCTACAGGGAGAGCAGGGAGCTCGGTCCGTTCAGAACGGCCTAGTGTCGGGGGAAAACCCCCCAAAACGCACCGAACCACGCAAAAGAGTCTCTCCAATGGTACTTGTATTGACTCGGTTGTTTAACTTTTAGACCTCGGCAAGATGAATGAGAGTTGGCCCCAGGTTTCCGCCCGCTTTTTGCGTGCTGTTTCAAATACTCCTCCTAACCCCAACGATTACACGGCATTGTTCGCGACTAGAAAGCTGTTGTCCCGTCATTCCAAAGCTGCGCAGAAAGCCAGAGAGTATAAAGGTTGATCCCAAAGATTTAGAAATTACCATGGAGCTCGGTAAGACTTTGGCAGTCGATATTATAAACGGAAGACAAGCTTACGCTGTGCAAGTTGCGGCTGCCGCGCTAGCAGGAGGCGTTGCCTCCAGCATGTACCTCGACGCCAAGTACCACTTGTCGAAGGATGCCAAATCGCTGCTAATGCGCCGAAGAATCATCAAGTCAATGGAGAATTTAGGTACTGGTTCTGAATGACAATCCTCACAATACCGTGCTGATCGAGCCTCAGTCAAGACAGGTCGTGTGTCGCCATACTACACATTCGAGGACTCCGTAGAAAGACACCCCTACGACGAAGCTATTTGGACTCGAGACGGCAGTGTATCTTGGAAGACGACCTACGATCGATCGAATCAATATGCCCAGCTTTTTCTATGTCATGGAGTGAAAGCCGGTGACTTTGTTGCTCTATTCATGCAAAACTCACCAGATTTCGTTTTTGCCTGGATGGGACTGCTTGCCATTGGCGCGGCGCCGTCTATGATCAACTACAACCTCAGCGGGAAAGCTCTCCTTGGAGTTATCGAGATCAGCACGGCCAAGCTGGTACTTGTCGACGGAGGCCCTGACATTGTTGGAAAGTATGCGAGCGTACAGACAGAATTAGATCTCAAAGGCATCAAAGTTATCAACATTGGAGAAGAGAGATCGCAGATCTACCAAAGAGATCCTGTTCGTCCCAGAGACGAATTGAGGAAAAACATCACGCCCGCCAGTGCATTGGGCATGTTTTATACCAGGTAACTACATTCTCAACCACTTACTTTGACCTTCTAACAGTCGTAGTGGCACTACTGGTATTCCGAAAGCCGTTATTTTCCCTACCGCCGGCGCAGGTGCGCTGATATCACAGGCAAGTCATTCCAACCTCCCCATCTATTATCTCGTTCTGATTAGTGATCCGCGCAAACTAATATGGGCTAGAATCCGTTGTCTGGTGGTCGGGAGAGATGCTACATATGTATGGTTCGTGCAATCCCATGGTGAACTACTAAAACTTCGACTGATGCTCAATATTATAGCCGTATTATCACGGAACTGGTGGCCTTACCATGATATCACAGATTTTCGTAATCTTCGTGTGTTCCACTCAGCAAACCCGGAAGCTAATGTGTTGCTAGGCTGGATCTACCGTTTGCATGGCACCAAAGTTCAGCGTCTCAAATTTCTGGGATGACGTCCGCGTTTCTCATGCAACATGGTTCGTGTATGTCGGTGAAACACTTCGGTACTTACTGGCTGCTCCACCGTCTCCTCGAGACAAAGATCACAGTATTCACGCTGTACTCGGCAACGGCTGTCGACCAGACGTATGGGGACGTTTTCAGGAACGATTTGGCATCGACACCATATGGGAGTTTTACAACAGCACTGAAGGCCCGTTGGCTCTCCGCAACCAATCTCGGGGAGAATTCTTCGCCAATGCCATCGGACACCATGGTCTGTTGTTGCGAATCAAATACAGAAACAAGATAGTGCCTGTCGAGGTTGATGCGGAAACTGGCCACATCAAGCGTGACCCGAAGACGGGGCTTGCCCTCCGTGCCCCGTACGAGGTCGGTGGAGAAATCTTGACCGAGCATCCCGGCGAACGCCCGTTTCCGGGTTACTTCAACAACGAGGATGCCACCAGCAAGAAGTTAGTGAGAGACATTCTCAGGAAAGGGGACTGTTTCTTCCGGACTGGGGACTCGCTCAGGCGTGATAGCGATGGCAGGTGGTTCTTTCTGGACCGGTAAGTCTTGAGAAGCGGCCAGACAGCGCTTCTATGCTTTAGCTTACATCACTTTCTAGCCTTGGAGACACGTACCGCTGGAAAGGCGAGAATGTTTCGACCGCAGAGGTCTCCGAAGTCCTTGGTAGCTATCCTGGAGTGAACGAAGCGGTCGTCTATGGTGTTCGACTTCCAGGGCACGACGGCAAGGCAGGCGCAGCTGCACTTGACATCGCACCGGCTCACAAATCGTCATTCAGCTATACTGATTTCCTCAGGTACGAGCTTTACTCGAAGTAGTCTGATAAAGATACTGACACACGCAAAGTTATGCACGAGCCAGGCTTCCAGGTTACGCTGTTCCTATCTTCATTCGACTACTCAACCAGGGAACAGCAACACACAACAACAAACAGAACAAGGTCCCATTGAAGAATGAAGGCGTTGAGCCAAGCAAGGTCCAAGGAGGTGATAAGATTCTCTGGATCGAGAAGCATGGCAAGGGCAATACATACGTCCCCTTTACGCAGCACGATTGGAACAATCTTGGCATAGGACGAGCAAGGTTATAACGAAGTCATTACACTATTTGCGCTCGAGTTACAACGAACACCAAGAGAAGCCGTAAGTGTTTTGCCAATTCTTAACATTCACAATATGGCCTCGATCTTGCGTGCTACTGAGAGCCAGGATGCGATGCGTCATAATCGGGTTATACATCCTTTATGCTTGCGTTGCATCGCATGACACGCCACGGCCCTCTTCCTGCATCCCCGCGATGATTCAACCAGTGGGGAGGGGTCATTTGTTCGGTTTATTCCCAAGCCAATCCAATGGGGATTCCATAATTTCAAGCTCCCCAACAACACAATGTGCAACAGCGCCCCTAGAGATGTAGTGATGCGACAAACCCCGCACGACACGCGGGGAATAGCACCCCCTGTTGCGTTCACATGGAGACCAGCAGAATATGAGAGGCTGGAACCGAGGCAGGTAAAATAAACACGAGTTGAACCATGGCGGTTGTTTTAATTACACGGGTGGTTTCTAGTCTTTTCAAGGGACTCGACTGTAGAAAGAAGACCAGTATCTGCGGCCATTATCTTCGTATACACAGTGCTTCATCTATCATCTATAGACTTTTTACTAATATCATGCCCGGCATCAAACGAACCCGAATAATCCTCGCATTGGTCATCACATGTGCCCTGATGTTACTGTTCAGGGGCAATGAAGCAACCTTCCAATCTTCTCAATCAACCAAACACACAATCCCAGAGCAATCTCTAGAAGATTCCTCACTCAACAGTGAGGTCTCCCCCGGTCATTTAGCTGCTCCAATACTCGACAGCAACCTAGAATACCACCCGCCGCTATTACAACAGACAAAACTCATTGCAGATGCACATAGACTCACGACGGCCGACGATTTTATCCACCATTTCGCTGCCGTTACAGCTCTGAAAGGTATTACTCAGCGAGAGGCCCGCGCAACATGTACTTGGCCGGCCGACACCTACGTTGACTTCCAGTTCTCCGACACGCTGGAATGGGTCCTCGAGGAACGTCCGGTGCTGGAGATTGAGCTCCGTCGGCGAGAGTGGCACGAATTCATCCAAGGCCAGATGATTCCGTATGCGAATGTCAAAGACCGGTTCTCAGGCCGCGGACTGGCCATTGTTGTAGGTAACGCAGACACGGTGATGCGCGTCAAGATCATCTTGCGCCAGCTGAAGAGACTTGGTTCGACGATTGCCGTGGAGATCACTATTGGGACACCGAGATGAACATTGGGACCATGGCCGACCTCAACGCGTTGTACGAACCGATATACTACAATGACCTCTCGAAAGACCGCAACATCGTGCACATCAAGAAAGACGGGATATTTGGAATCAATTATCAGCTCAAAACAGGAGCCTTGCTAAACTCCAGATGAACCGAACCCTTTTTACTGGACTCCGACAACATTCCCATTCTCGACCCTGCGATTCTCTACGATTCACTTCAGTATACCGAATACCATGCGATATTTTGGCCCGATATTGCACGTACGCGTCCGCAGAACCCGGCTTGGGCAATCTTCAACACTCCCTGCCGAATGGCCGAGTACGAGAAGGAGAGTGGCCAACTGTTGGTTGACAAGAAGCGTTTCTGGTATCATCTCCAACTAGCCTCGTGGCTGAACAATGAGCAGGGGAAATACTACAACGAGATCCTTTTAGGGGACAAGGACATGTTCCGCTTTGCATGGCACGCTTTGCGGACAACGTTCGGGAAGCCCGCCAAATGGCTTACGAGCGTTGGAACGGAAAATGATGGTTCCTATTGCGGGCATTCTTTCGCTCAGTACCACCCTGACGATGACCGTGTTGCATTCCTCCACGGAGGACTAGTCAAGACAGTGTCTCTCGAGGTCATGCGATGGAATCGCGACATAATGGGAGGATATCTTCGACATTACAAAAGGGTACCGAGCGAAGAAAACCCAGAGGTTACCGTCAATGTGGCTATCAAGTGGGACAATGCTGCATATTTGCCCCAACACTCTGAAAAGTTTGAAGCGGCGCAGTGTACCGAAATGATCGACATTGAAGCGAGAGACGTTAATGAGATTCTGCCTGGATTCGAGAAGACATTTAGTGAGCTTGGAGGATACTGGCAGCTTGATCAGGAAGACGCCATGAAGCTGGATCAATTTGGATGTCCACACGCGCGCTGAAGCATCCAGAGCATCAACAATTTCCTGCACGTGGAAGCATCATGGAAGATCAGCCGCAGCGCAACTGTGATCGTACGAGCTCGGCGAGCCGATGGCCTTTTTTGTTAGCGTCAGGCACAGTAGAGAAAGAAGGTCAAGTACACTAAACAAAGAACGAAGAAGACCTAGCGCCGTTGACAGTTGCCACCTGAGGGTGGACTGCATTATTGCGCCCGGCCCTGGGTTAATAATATTACTCAAGAGGGGGGACGCCATTCCCACTAGTTCGCGCAGGCCGGCTATTAAGCGAGGCCAAGACACCTTCTATTCATTCCTATTCCGGCCAGTTGAGAGCCATCCGGATGTCAGCGCCATGCTTGAGAATGAGCTGCACAAGGCCACGCGGATACTAGTTTTTGTAGGCTTGTCAAGAAGGCTTGGCATGCCACTACAAAGAAACACCATGCGAGTACAATATCTTTATAGGATGTGAAACGTTTGGCACTTAACATGGCTGATGTATTCTTCGAAGAGCAGATACACTGGTGTAATACATCTAGAAAGGGTCCGCATTTCTGGAGACGTTGATTGACTTACTGGAGATTCGCTCTCTCTCTCTCTCTCTCCCATACAGCAAAGAAAGAAAAAACATGGAAAACATCTGGATTTCACCATAGTCTCCTTAAATTGTGCCTGGAAAATAGTGATAGAGTTATTGGCAACCCGCCTACGCGGCGCATCGTCCAAGCGTTAAGGGTGTCGATCTGACGATAGGAACGTCCTGCACTCGCTTAGGTCCTCGACAGGAAACATGAAATAAGAATAAGGGTATTCTAAGCAATGTTACCGACGCTTATTTTCTTGAACGCTTAGTGTAGTGCCCTTCCCGCCCACTGTTTCAGGAAATCATTCACCGCCAAGCCCTACCGTTGAGAGCTAGAAAGCATATGATTAGCGTCCAGGACTCCATACCCCTATCTGGAAAGCAACCGAGCCCGCTACGCTCGATCGGTCTAACTTCTTTATAAAATTGTCACACTTCAATAGTACTTGCCCCTGACCCAAATAGTCCCCGCTCGCTTGGTTGAGCACGGTAGCCAGATTAGGCAAGACTGTCTTACTCAGTGATTGCATTCGGTGAAAGCTAAGATGCAGGTCGGTAAACGGGTAGGTCTGCTGATTGTGTACCTCGTGAAGCAATTAGCTCAAGCATGTCTTCTCAGACGGGATGATGGATGCATACACTCGAACATATCAGAGTGAAGCCTAAAACGTATCTCTAGAAACCCCATGGTGACCACCTCAAGAAAGGTGGAAGAGTCTGGTAATCAAAGGAAGGAAATTACAAAAGGTTATGGCTTGATGTCAGTCACACTTGGCACAGAAACAGACCTCCTTTGTTTCCTCACTGTCGACGCCCCACTTCCTCGGCTGACTGCCGGAGTAGACATCGTCAAGCCACGGCTAAGACGTTTGTCGTGCAACTCCTCCGTGGTTTGTGGAGGCGGAGCAGACGGGCACCAGTGCTCGGACTAGGCCAACTACTCCAGGGGCTCAGGCGACCCTATACGAGCAGACGAGTGAGTTACAGCAAAACGGTTAGGAAAAAGCAACACTTTCCTACAAGGTTGGCGTCAGAACGCCCCGGAACTAATGTTTTTGACGGCGGCCTACTCATTTTATCAGCGAAGCGCCGAAATGGCTTGCGTCGCCAAGAATAGATACGTAAGGAACGAGCACGGCCGTCCGGTCCAAAGAATTCAGATTAGGATATAATGAGTTCATAATGTCCAGCAAATCCAATGTTTGAATCATCAGGATACGCCTCATCACTCCCTCGTCTATCATACTCCTAGCGACCCGGCTTTTCTTGGCCTTTTGAATATCCCTATCCAACACTCTCTCATTGAGTCTATCACTCACCACAATCAACATGCGCGTGTCCGTTCTTGCCGCCGCTCTCGCGGCTACTCCTATCCTCGCCTACCCTGGCATGAAGAGCACCCTGTCAGAGATCCGTTCCCGTGCGGACAAGGACGGGAATGGCGCTGACGATGGCGACTCCAACGAGCTCATCGGCGACCTCGTCACCCTCGACGACTCAAAGTTCACCACTGTTGGCAAGAGCGTCAAGCAACTCCTCACCGGCTCCGGCACACCTGAGAGCGACGAGATCTACTCTATCTCCGCACGCGGCGGGAACCTCGCAGCCAAGGACTCCCAAGCTTGCGCTGCTGACACGTGCTGCATCTGGAAATACATCGCCAACGACCTCCAGGGCGTCTTTAAGGGGGCTTCTGGCCGTTGTACGGACCTTGCTCGCGCTGCTGTTCGTCTGGGATTCCACGATGCTGGCGGTTGGTCCAAGAACACTGGTCCCCTTGGTGGCGCCGACGGCTCTATTATCCTCGCCCCCGAAGAAATGACTCGTGGAGAGAACAGAGGTCTTGAAGAGATTGTCGCGCAGACCAAGGTTTGGTACAACCAGTACAAGAAGTACGGCATCGGTATGGCCGACCTCGTTCAGTTCTCCGCCAACGTGGCCACCGTTGTGTAAGTCTTCCGACGGTCTGCATGTAACATACATGTATCATGTATCGTCTGCTAACAACTAGAAGATGCCCTCTTGGACCTCGTATCCGCACCTACATCGGCCGTAAAGACTCTGCTGCACCCTGCCCTAACGACCTCCTTCCTCCCGTCACCGGGTCTGCCGATTTCTTGATCCAGCTTTTCGAGAACAAGACCATTAAGGCTCACGGTCTGACTGCTCTCATTGGCGCTCACACCACGAGCCAGCAGCGTTTCGTCGACCCCAACCGCGCCGGCGACCCTCAGGACAGCACTCCCGGTGTCTGGGACGTTAAGTTTTATAAGGAGACCCTCGGCTCTGCCCCCGCCCGTGTCTTCAAGTTCGCCAGCGACGTGGTGCTGGCCAAGGACCCTCGCATCAGCGCCGAGTTCCAGGCCTTTGCAGGCCCGGGCGGACAGTCCCACTGGAACGAGGACTACGCCCGCGAGTATATCCGCCTTTCTCTCCTCGGCGTGGATAACATCAACGACCTGACGGAGTGCACCAAGGCTCTTCCCGCTCGCACTGGCAGCAGTTTCACTGCTCCTGACCAGGCTGCCCTTGACAAGTGGCTTGCCACCACCGACCGTGTTGCTAAGATTGCCGATGCGCTCCGAAACGGTGGCAACATTTCCAGTCTCATCAACACTGTGATGGGGTGGCTGAAGGGAATCTTCAATTTCCGGTGGTAGAGGGGCATAATCAGTTTTCTTATGTTGTTGTTTTTTGGTTTTGTTATCTTGTCATGGCAAGGGCATATAGAGGCGTCCAGGCTTTATTTTCTAACCCAAACCTGCCCTGACCGGGCGACCGTAGATACGTCATATAATGTCTATAATAATTTCAGATTTCACGAAAGTTCTACTTTCCAACCCATGTCCTCAAACCAGTAGTCTCACCCGCATGAACCGATGGGGAATTAGCGTTGCATGACAGAACGGTTAAATTCTTAATAGCATTTTGGTTGGGCCACATGCGTATTGCCGGATTGGTTCAAACTCCAACATCACTCTTCACCCTCAACTTCCACGACCGCCCCATACATGGCTAGAGATGCTTATTCTTTTGCCTCGGAAAAGGAAGAAACGTTCAATAAATTACAGCTTACATAGGTGTCATGAAGACAGGCCCTTCGCTTACGGGACCATGTTGAGACAGTAACACAAGGTTCGACATGCATCCATATCGGATGCTAACATGCAGTGATAATAGGTCGGGGTGAAAGGGATGTCCGTATAGGATTTGATATAAGCATCACGAAGCTGCTACAGCTGGGTGGTGCGCTCCTCGCGTGCCCATGTATTCCTATCAAAGTTTCCCTTTGTACATTTATATGGTTAAAGGGGCTTTCCTTCGACACACCGCAAGAAGTCGTGTACAGCTCCCTCCAAATGGATGTATCTAAAGAGCAAGCCTCCACCGACAAATTTGTCCCACAGAGTGAGCAGATACCCGCAAACAGGCAGCAACACTACGCCAACACTACGACGGAGCTCATGTCCAGTTTCTGCGACTTCACGTTTCTCAATAGCTACATCGCCTGTGTTTTTGTCTACATTAAAGACCATGGGGCAGTTTTCTTGGTGGTATGCTGTCATACAAGCAGTGCTCATCGTCTTCTGTACGGCAATCGTGCCAGTCGGAACACTGATGCTCACAACTGGAGTAATCCAGGAGAACGTTGAGGGTTCGGGTGCTGATGGTCTATCTATCACTCCCCCAATCGAGCAGCAGCCCACTGTGACACAAACGGCCAACGCGATGGGATGGAACGGCGATGGAAACTTTTCCTAGACACTTGACTAGAACGACGACTTCCTCTCGCGGGCGCTTTACACCTTCGCCGGCAATCTAATCAGCCGAAGCACCTTGTCGACGTCTTCTCTGGCTCCTTATTAGCTGAACCACATATCTGCTTTGAGGCGGCCCATCATCGCTCCTAAACGACAGTAATCCCGCCAATGACATCAGCCTTACCAAAGCCGCCGGGGTATTGGGACAGTTTCAACGGTGGTTAGAATGCAGGAGAATACGTATGTCGTTTGTACCGCTGTGCTGTGGGTGGTTTCGGGCAGTCTGACGGTCGTTGTTGTTACGAGCTTTTTAACATCTCCCTCCGGGCAGCAACGTTTTTGGCCGTTGCGAAAGCTGTGAGGGGGCTGTGGTGGGTTCAGGCACTCTGCGGCAGCTGTATTGCTGACGAAGTGGCGATAGAGAAGCAGAGCTTGTCGGCGGTTATGTTCGGGTAGACATACACAATCCGCACCATGTCGGGATGCTGCCAACCGTTCTGCCCATTCAATAGAATAAAGCTTACTCTGAAATCAGGAGACGGGGGGAACCTAGGAGTTGGTAGATTGTCGTCGTACAGCAAAGAGAGGCCTCTACACTTGAAGTTGGCCAAATTCAGGCTCTAGCAGGTCATCCAACAATATATACGTTTTCCTCGCAGCCATTCTCCTTTACCAATGCCTTGCCACAAAGAGAAATATCTCCAAAGCAGACCTTAGAGCATAACCTCAGTTGCGAACTTCCCCAAGAGGGATGTTCATGCCGTGTCTGCCCTTGTACTGCGATGCTTCCGCAGGTTTCCACCCGCCGCGTTCCAAAAGATTCTCGTCTTCCAGACGGAATACCTCGACCGTTAGCGGTCTGCAGCACTTGATCATCTTCTCCTCGCTGTCCTCTCCAAAACCCCAGAGCGACAAGTCGCCGCCGGGGCAAGTACCTATAGCATTCAGTCAGCCCGAATCAGGTGAATGCGCATAACGAAGCAACCAAACTCACTCAATGCCATCAGCAAGTCCTGCTCCGCCAGGAACTCGATGTGGTCCCCGGGCTGCGCTGGGCAAGGGTTCATGAAATACCGACCCTTCTCATCCAGCCCTGTGACCTGAAAAATATTGATCACATCATGGACGTCGCTCTCATTCAATCCGTAAGGCAATACTGCCCGAGTCAAGTTAGAATGGCATTGGAAATCGTAGCTGCCGCCAGTGAGGACCGTGTTGATGTACGGATCGCAGCGTGTGCCTAGGAGATCGTGCACGCGTCCTCCATACTCGTCCTCGCCGTACCACTCTAGTGTATCCTTGATGATGGTCGCCAGAGGCCGCATGTAGGGCAGGCTCGACCACAGCCGATCACCGGTCGAGACGTGGCTCGCGTGAAGCTGCTTCGTTCGGCTCGCCCAAAAGCGCTCACGGGGGTTGTGTGCGTTCCAGATGTTCAGGTCGCCTAGCACAAGTAAGTTTCCGATACTAGTAGGCCGGTTGAGGATTCATCATGGTGTACCCACCTACTTGGGGGCCTTCTGGAGTGCTGATCCTCACGATCGAGCCTGCCGGTGCTTTCCATGCCTTCCCGGATCGAATCGGCAGCGTAAACTCTTGGAGCAGAACACGTGGAGCTTGTTGTGCACAGTCATACAACGCTCTATCAACCGTGAGCACGGAGCCGGCAGTCGGGAGATAAGCCGGGACCGGCTTCCGGATCGGCCTCCGATCCCTCAGGCGTTTGGCGGGGTCGAGGCTGGCGGTAGGCATTGTTGGATCGATTCAATGGCGATCGCACGTAGGACAATTATAGAAGAAAGCGACCCATTGCACGAATACCGTCACTTGGCTGAGAAACAAGTTTATAAGCCGACGTGCACATCAATAGAACTGACGAATCGCGTGAACCCCGCAAAGAGCCTTACGTAAAGACATACCAGAGGGACGCAATGCAATTATCTCCGAGAATGAAGCGGCGCCGATGCCGCTCCTCCGCCATCTCCACACTCGTAGTATCTGTCGGTATCGAGCCCAATGGGCGAGTGTTACGACTCCGAGCTTTTGCGTTAGGATGTTTGTAGAGCTACACAATGTTTCTTTCTTGGCAAAGAGCAATTTATATTTAGTTTATTTAAGGATCTATTTTCTTCTAAACTTTTATCTAATATAGGCAAACAATGTTAGATAGTTTCAGCTATAGAGAAACAACAGATTAATTAAATAAAGTTAATTAACTAAATACAGTGACAAAATCTTGTAGTTTGCCTGTCTTGGATAACGAGGGAAATGAAAAAAGAAATGATCCCTTTACTGGGGGGGTGAAAGGGAAGATTGCCTCGTGGCGGAATCGAACCGCCGATCTTCTCATGACACTAGATACTAGTGAGACGCTATACCACTTAGCCAACAAGGCTTGTAACACCGTGAGTCAGTACTACCTAAGGATCCAGACCGCGGCAACGGTAAGTGGTCCGCAAGTCCTGTTTGAGCGAAACTCCGTACAGAGATGGGCTTCCTGAACCTATTAATCGTAAGACGCATTGAAGTACTACATCATCTTATGTGCTAAATGCGGTTCATTGGGGGTTTGAAATGTATGTGAAACAGACAAAGGGTTTCTGCTTTCCTGAGGAGGACGTCGTACAATGAGAACAAAGAAGATTGGTTTATTTTTGTCAAGACCATTCCGAGCCACTGGTGGAAGAGATGTCTTGATAAACCTATGATTTTTAGCACCGGTGTTCTATTTCTAAGAATAGAGGGTTCCTGGCTATGTTTGTGGTATCACGTTAACACGTTCATCAATCTCTGAATTAGGAAACCAAGTTAAGTATCTGATACTAGCAACGAACTGAAGCCATCAATGTTCCTGATCCTTTCATCTACATGCACTAATACTTTGCAAACCCTGAAGCCACCTTCTCCTTATTATCCCATGGAGGCCTTGTCGTTGCCGTGCCATGATGCTTAGTGTATGATAGAAGTTTTCAGATCAATGCATTGGAAAGGGAGCACCGATGACAGGGACGGGACTTGGAATGCCATCAAGGTCCCGTTGTCCTATAATGCATTCAAGTGGAACATTAAGCTAGTTTCATGGCTCCAACGATGCCTGGGCCAGAACTGCTGGTCAGAACAATCCACATATTCTACAAGCAGAACCATGATTGAGACCGTCGGGCGAATTCTCGCTACTTAAGAATGACCTTTGTCGATCTGCTCTGTCCGGGAAAGTATATTTGGTAATAGAGGCCAGAGTCCTTCTTATCCCCGTTAGACTACTACGGAGAATGCAGTACTGGACCAGGCGCATTGTGATGCGCTATGAATAGATGCTGTCTTGCTGTCGACTCCAGCCGCAACGGGGCATCTTCTAGCCTTGTTCTTCTGTACTTTATGCCCACCCATGTGGAACTCCAGCGGTCGTTATTCTAGATGCCATGCTACTCTTGTACAAAATGCACCCCATTGACAATAATACTCCCCTCACCAGACCAGCCCAATGCTGTACAACTGTAAACTTTTGAGCATTCTTGACTATTCTGCAACAAAAGGAATTAGTCACAATATTGCCGGTTGCCAACGAGCGAATCACTCGTGCTGCTGGGGTCTTGAGAGGGCCGCTGCCTCACAACCCAGTGCAAGGCCCTCAGCTGGGATGTATTCGCCTGATATCACAAGTCGGCTGTGAATATGCAGCTTGGAAAACCCTTCTCCAGTTCATCTTACCCACAGCAAAGGTTGTTGGTCAAGCACGTACTGGAAGCATTGTACGAGCGTCTCGGTAGTCGTCCGTAGTTACATGTAATTTAGGTCAAGGCTTGGCCATATCGGACGGGGATATATCCTCAGCCTCGAGGACTGAGTCAACGTCGTCCCCAGTCTGGAACATTTACCCATGAAAATTTAGTCGCGGCGCAAGAGCCTTTCTTCGCCGATGTCCGTGTTAGAGAAATATCACGAGTTTCGGGGATTCCTTGAGCGAGATATTTGACGATGGCTTGTTTCAAGTCGATTGGTTATTGCCGGGAGCCCTGCCTACCCCAAATCTTCACTAAGAAAACACAAACAGCATTCTTTTGTATCGCCATCGGCTCGAACAGACCTCTCGTTATACCATCGCGCCCAGGATCAACCACTTTCTCACAGCATTGCTCTGGCAGCCTGCCGTAAAGGGGTCGGTCCAGACTCACCGGGCGAAGTCGACCTAGGTTCTGACACTCAGCCCATATAAGCAAGGGTTACCCTGTCCTCCGACACACGCCTGCACGGCATATCCTACCAAGGCGCAGCGACGGCGTTTTAGTCGCATTCAGGCAGAGAGAGGTGGGCCGTTCTCAAGAACAAGTGGCAGAACGGCTAAGAACCACGTGCAGACAGGTATCGTAAGGCCGCTGAATGTTCGGCCTTCGCGAGTCGCGGGGTGTTTTTTTTTTTTTCCAACACTTTCCCCCCATTTTCTTAGGACAGAGTACAACGATGCGCATTACGGAACCCGAAAACATGGTGTCCAGAAACGATTGACCTCCGAAGCTCCTTAAGTTGTTGGTCCGTCGGTCATCTCTCGCAGGGCAGAGAGGGCCGTCCGGATGGTACAGAGATGTGGAAGGGTATCAACAAGCGACAAATCGTGTGATCAGGGAATCCGCATGCCTATTGGAAGGGCCTAGAGTCTAGACTACTAGTAGATTCCAAAACGGGCACACCGTTTCTCATCATTGGCTGCAAGTTTCGTCGGGGCACACGTGGGGTTGGGACTGTCGCATCCGGCACTGATAGGACTTTTGCTAAGCCTCCGCAAGACCGGTAGGGTGACTGGAGTTTCTGTTTAAGACGAAAAGACCCTGACAGGTTGTCAAACAAGACTATATGGCAAAGCCGCCCGACGCATATACGTATAGGTAGCAATGACCTTCTGGTGGGCACTCTGCACGGTGGTTCTCCGGCCATGAGCGGTACGTGTTGTATGATTCCGGCCTCCCCCTCCACCTGGACATGAGGGCGGGCCTAGAGGGGCCCGGAAAGCGAGAGGGGCATCAAATGAATCCACGGTGATGCATTGGGACAAGTGCTCCGGTAGTTAGACGCATCACGCTACCTATAACCTATTACGTCCATTATCGGTAGCGACCGGAACGTAATAAGCTCCCGTTCGCCTGATTGGCTGGGGAGACCAAGCCCTATCGTGAGGGTTGCATTGGTACTTTGCCCTTTTATCGAACGATATCCCGGAGGCTAACCTACACTCAACCGGGCCTGCACTGCTAAAGATGATGGCGGAGCTGGGTCCGGGTCGGCAGGGCTATAGAGAAAAGATGGGAGGGCACTCCGTCGAGAAGGGGCCAATGACTAGCACCCTGGCCGGCGCCGTACTCCCTACCATAGTAGTACGCACAAGAATCACAAGCACTCAATGTGAAACCGAAATCGCCTATTCCAGGATACCGTGGCTCTTAGGACAGCTCAGCATCTGGCCAATGCCCACCCTTCCGATCAACGACCAGGACAGGCTCGTGAGCCACAATGGCGACATGGCGACGAAAGGTCCGGGGCGGCGTCTAGCTCGCTTAGAATGCTACCCTGAGCGAGAGCCCACGCTCATTCAGCCGCTGCCGCATCTATGCGCGGGCGGGTCATGGGCTGAATGCTGCGACGAGACAAACGTTTGCGCGAGTCGGGTGTCAATGGCCATGCCCCGCTGGCATGTTGACCATGGTCCAGACCTTTTTTTAACTCCCGCTGCTATCATACAGTATAGGGAGTTTCCGAGAATAGAGTTGCTATAGACCAGGAGGCGGACTTCCCGATAATCACTGCTTTCTACGTAGTCTCCTCGTGCCGTCCTGAACCCACGTTATCATCTGGGCGAGCGAGCGAGCGAGCGAGCGGAACGTGACAGGGCTAGGAACGTTGTTCTAAAGTCCAGCAGACCTTTCTTTCTATTCGGGTAACGATTTCCCACCTAGGGCCAGGGATGCCTAGATATGCTCCTGGCCGTACATGGTGTTGCCGCCTTACGAGAACAAAACAATTGTGAAAACCGCTCACTGGGGAAATGAAGCAGAGGGGGTTGGAGATGGTCGGACCGAGGTATCTCGGGTAGACAGAATACATGGAGCTAGCAGCCCCATGATATGACGATAACGAAACGAGGTGATATCGACAAGGCCACTTTATGATAACAGCATGTCTGTCATTTTTCTTGAGGTCTGTCAGGTTTCAGCACCAGATAGAAGGTCATCTATCAAAAACGGGCTGACAATCCCTTGTACTTGGGACCGTGGAGCTTTGCGCGGTAGAGCTCTGAGGGAGTGTTGGAATGCAGCATGGCATCCCGGAGTCGGCGGAAATGAAGACAGACGGACACGAGACGAGGATATCCTCCAATCCATCTGTACAGTCATAGAAACCCACTCGTCCCATATGACCCGTCCTATACGAGAGAATGTGAAGACACGCATGTTGGACGGTACATGCACGCAGTTGCCGGGATCAGTCCGTGGTCATCCGTCAGTCAGTATGTAGCAGGCAGAGCGAAGGGCAATGATCACCCAAGAAGCTCGTATTAGCGTCGAGGCATCTCGATCTCTTGCGCCCAAACCGCAGAGTCGAAAACGCCAGCCTGCATGGATTGAATCTTTTCCTCCTCCTCCTCCTCCTCCACCACAATCTCGATTACGAGTGAGTTGGTGTTGATTTTTTTGAACGAGGGTGCCGGTGATGGATTGTATGAAAGGCTACTCTCATCATCATCATCCTGAGGTAGTAGCAAATAAAGCATCCGAAACGAAGCCACATAACCTCACCACGACTCTCACAGTCGCAGTGACTGGGGCGCCTGGGAAAGGAACGAAAAAAAGGAGTTACCGATGGGTGTGTGGGGTTTTGTGTCCCCAAGGACGGGATCGTAGGCGGCCAGAGGACCAAGTCGAATTCACTGGAGATGCAGCCCTAGAGGGGCATCCGTCAAACACCACGGCACTCGGATGCGTTAGTTTGGGTTAGGTTATCTTCCAACCAGGCTAAAAGTAGCAAGCGTTGCCTTGTTGCGTACACGTCAAAAACAATGCACACAAGAAGCTAGGTATCATAAGAGTATGCTGATTGCTTCTGGCGATGATGGGTTCCATCCGAACGATAATAGAGCACGTATGTAGGTCGTGTTTCTGAAACGCAATCAATCTGTTCTCGGATCCTATTAATAGCGATTGGTCCCGGGAAGCCCTGCTGGATGGGAAATGGACGGGCAAAGCAAAAGCGCATCCCAGCCCCCCTAGCAACGAGAGTGGGCATCACGGCCCAGCAAAGGCGGAGTCAAGGGACTGAAGCTAAAGTCAAAGCCAGCACCAGAGATGGAGAGAGAGAGAGAGCCAAACAAATCTTTCTCTTTCCAGAGAAGCACAGAGGAGCCCCCTCGAGAGGGTCCTGGGTCTGCCCCTGGACGTCGCAGAGCCCTCATCCCTCCAGATAACGGACGCAACGGATTTGAGCGAACAGGGCACCTGGGCGCCGTCAATTAAGGTGGTCTTAGTAATTATGCGACTCCTGGGCTCGTGTGCAGGTTCTGGAACTTCTGCGAGGACGGAATCAAACCAAGTAAAGTGCCCCCGCATTGCCGGTCCCGTCCTTGGGGCTGGGCGAGAGAGAAACATAGCTACCTAGCTAGAAAGACCTAAGACACGCAGTGAGAGAGAATTACCTAGGTAGGGTTTTCTGGTAGCGTGAAAGAAGAGTGGACTGGAACGTCTTTGTTCCTCGGCCATCTCAAACTCCACATAGAACATCAGAGACCCCCCGGCAAGCCAAAAAGGAAAAAGAAAAGAAAAAAGGGTCCACACAACCGCGGGCAAGTTGGGTGCCGATGCCGGTGCTGGCGCTGTTGCTGGTGCCAACGCCAGACCAGACTCCCAGTCCCTGAGAAGAAGAAGTAGAATGCGAGGAAGAAGGTGCCACAAGGATGGATATGAAGGCCGTATCCACAATCAAGGGGACCGTGAAATCTCCACAGTCCTCGGTCCAGCCAAACGCCCGTCCCCCCCTACCCAAATCTCTCTCCCAGAGCCATGGGGAGCTGTGGAACAACCCAGAAAGGGGATGGCCATGGAGTAATATGTACATCACTGCGAAACCTTGTAGGGCAAGGTACATGCGCCTTACGAATATACAGGCACCGCAGCAGCTTTGCAACGACGAGGGGGGAGGGTCAAAGGGGGGGGGGGGGGGGGGGGGTTTCGGTGGACGATGGCGATGGGAGTGTATGCTGTGTAACTGTAGGACCAGACAGAGACCATGACATGTATGTTATTTGTTCCTTCTATTGGCTTTTTTTGGTCAGTCCAGTCCAGCCCAGTCCAGTCCAGTCCCCTTGCCCTGGCTTGCCTTGTCTTGCCCTTCCCGTCGATGCCGTGGAATGAGATAAAGACCCTTTGGGATCCCCTCCATGCTTTCTGCTCTCTCATCAGTGTCTGACTGACTTTCTCGTGCATCTGACTTGTCTGGAACATCTTGTTGCATCCTCAAACCTCTCCTCCCTCGAACTTGTCGCCCCTTTGAGACGGTTTCCACCACCATTTCTCACTTGCAGAACTACAAAACAAAGAACCCTCCCGGAAGTCATTATTTCATATAACCGCCTGCTAGCCAGAGAGAGAGGGCGAAAAAAAAAAAAAAAGGTTTACAAATATCACCAGAAACCAGAAATACAAATCCAACCACCACCATCCCCCTCTACAGCCATAAGTACTCTGCGCCTTGTCGAACAACCTAGGCCAGATACATCCCGACTGGCTTCTTTACTTTGACGATTCTAGACATCGTCGACTGCCGAAAAGAGAGAGAGAAAAAAGAAAACACCACCCGAACAACAACCAGAAACATCCTTCACCACGGCTTCTCCAGCGATCGCCACCATGGGTTCCCCGAGTGGACCCCTCCGCCCCCGAGCGTCGTCAAACTTTATGGGCCTCCGCGCCACCGGATTCCCTCCGTCGATGACGCCGCAGGAGAAGCACCTCTTCTCTGACCGCGTCAACTCGGCGACGACGCGGCTCTCGAGCACCATGGCCGCCAGCGAAACCCCCGAGGGCTACATCTTCGTCGTCTACTTCCACAAGACCAGCGCCGCCGATGCCCTCGCCGCACTGCGGGCCGCGGACATCCGAGTCAGAGGCCACGAAATCCAATTTTCCTGGCACTGAACTCTCCGTCTCTCTCTCTCTCTTTAGTCCCTCTCCCTTTTCTCCCTCTCTCTCTCTCTCTCGCTCTCTCTCTCTCTCTCTCTCTCTCTCTCTCTCTCTCGCTGTCTCCCCGCCCGCCCGTCCGCCCGTCCGTCCGTCATCTGCCGAAAGCCTGCTTACGATTCATCGCTGCTCCGGCCTGGGGCTGGACTGGACTGGACTTGGCCAGACTCTACTCTTGCGGGCATTGTGGCCTGTTTATCGACTCGTCACCTGCTCTCTTCCACATCCGATATGCACGCCTTGCGTCCCGCGGCCGGTCAGAGTCGCTGCCGTGTCGGTTTGGAATGGCTTGAGGGTTGATCCTTTCTCTTTTCTCTCCCGTCTCGTCGTCATCCCTTACTTCTGCACAGCCAGCCAGACAACAGGAAAAGGGTGACGAGTTTCCATCGAATGTCCTCTTGCACCACCCTCCCCCCTCCCTCACCCCCCCAACCAGCCTCCAATTCCCCGTCCGACCGCACCGGGATAAGTCCTTCAACGATCTATCATCCACCACACACCCCCTTACCAATCCTCGGCGATCTGCAGGTCTAGGCCGTCCTAGACCACGCGGCCCCCTGAAATCCCGTCCCAATTTCCAAGAGCAATCGTCGATTCTGCCCCCACTGGATAAACTTGCTACTACACCCCGGCGCACCTTATCTCCGTTCCGTCGAAGCAGCGTAGAGGTATCACAAGGCAAAAGTCGACAGAGCACCGTTGCATCCATATACCAAACCCACGCGCATCAAGCAAGGCACTTCGGTTCTGCAGTGGAATATACTGCCGAGTTCCGCTTGCGTCGTACCGTCCATCCTCCGCCCGTCCTTTGCCGCATGGGCCGGCCGGAAACACAAACGGGAGTTTTGGGAGGGATTTGCAAAACAAGGAGGGGACGAGAGGATCAAGACGAAGATGAGGTGGAGCGTGAAAACAATGGGATCTGTGGCTATTCAAGTCATCGCCACTCCGGCCGGCTGTAGTCGCCGATGTATTGAATTCCAACGCCCCTGTTCGTCAGGGCAGCATCTCTGGCACTTCGGGACCCTGACCAAAGGGTGCATTTTGGTCGGCGATCGGAGCCGATGGGGTTCCGCGGGAAAATTAAGAGCAAAAATCAAGGGCACACCCACACTACCTGGAATGAGACGCGCCCACGCAATCGTCATCGGGCTTCCGCGTCTCGGCGGCCCTCCCCCCCCCCCCCCCCCCACCGGGAGTGGCCAGGAGGGAACATTTGCATAGGAGGAGGAACATATGGTTGGAATTTGCAACTGCAGCAAATCCGATAAACCATCAACAATAACATTCCCAGGGTCAACCGGGTCTCCACATTGCAAATCTCCATTCCAGTTGCAAATCTCCTCCCAAAAGCAGGGAGCCGCCCTGGACCGCAAGCCTTCGAGCGCAACAACAAGACAACACCTGCGCCAGCCCGTACCAGAAACACGACAGGTCACCCTTGTATACGGACATCGGCTGGCAGACGGTCCCGGTCATGTTTGACGTTGATTACCGGCACGTGGGGGAAGCATGGAGTTGAGGAGGGGGGGGACGGACGCACGTTGCCGTTACGTTGCGTCTCTTCGGCTGCTTTGGAGGAACCAATCCGGGATGTGGAGGCCAATGAAGTGAAAATGAAAAGGAAAAAATAAAAAAGGAGAAAAGAAGCGGCCGGCGGCGGGCATCGCGTGACAATGCCCTCGTTCAGTTCTCCCAGTACATACATAGCCTGGCCAAACCAAAAGAAAATGAACTCTACCAACCAGGCACCTCCAGCCATTGTCCCGTAGCTTCCGGAACACCGTCTCTGTCGAGTTGTCCCGTCGCCGTTTTTGGAGTCGTTGCATCCTCTTCTCTCTCTTTCCTCCCTTTTCTCCCGCGTCTTCGAACCATTCCGTTTTCGTACCGGGCAGTTGACCATATGTAACAAGAGACAGATGGCCCTCCGCCTCAGTACGCTCATTTTGGCTTTGAGTGGACTCCCCTCCCCCCTCCCCCAATGCAGGTCAGCTATTGCCTGGTCATCTCACACGGAACCGGTTCCGGAACTAGTGGCTGCGTTCGCTATTGGTTGTGCGGGAGAGGTGTGATAGCTCACGGCTAGACAGGCGGGAAAGAGACGGCTAACCATAGACGGTCGAGGTGACCAGTCATTGATTTGACTGTTTCGTCACCTTCAGCTTGGCCGTTCTTAGTCGGAGAAATCAGATCATGAGTTCAACAAAGCAACAATCTCAGTCATCCGGACCACGAGTCCCTCCAGCCCCCGCGAAGCCGCTGCGTCCCATCACATGCGTCGAATGACCAATGTCCGAGCCTCTCCTCGGGTCAAACTTCCTCTGTCGTCGATCGGAAGGGGGACGACTCGATGCCAGAGGCTAAATTACGTGCTGCACACCCGCGCACTCTAAACGGGCCGATTGCTTGTCCCCGTCAAGGGAAATGGCTGTTCAAAAAAAAAAATGAAACAGGGGACACTCTGCTACCCGTCACGCGCTCGGGACTTTTCCTCGTGCAGATTCGCCCCCCTAAAGAACTTTAAAGGACCCGAGAGGGATTCAGAGTATTCCAGACCGCCCGGCGACCTGGACAGGGACTTGGCGCGGGCTTGGCGCGGCGTGTTAAGCTCGCTCCTCTCTCGAATGTCTCCTGTCCTGACCACCTCGACGGGCCCTGGGTTCTCTTGTAGAGGCTCCCTGACGGTCGAAGCAAGTCGCCCTTCTTCCGGGACCCCGTGGTTCTACTCCGTCCCCCGTCCCCCATGAGCCACGGATGAAGGTTGGGAACCCTGACGTCGGTGCATGGCCATCACGCCACTGCCCCGACCCCGAAAGCAGAAAAAGCTTCAGGTCGATTCCATCGTGGCTTGGATGAACCAAGCGCGTGGTATGGGTGCTGACTTTGCCTTGGCGCCTGCGTCGTTCTTTTGATACTGTTGGTATACGGTAGGTATGCTCCGGGGGAGGTGGTCACGTGATATTTATGTGACACACCGCCTCCCTCAGCAGTATCTACCTTACTACTAGTATACTACCTAAAAGTCTGGATTTACTTTATAACTAACTAATATAATAAGTAACTACTATATTCTATATTATAATTTGTTATGTAATCTATAGGATATCCCTCTTAGTAATTAACTAATACTAATTAGTATATAATTAATTACTAGATTACTACTATAATAGATTAGTAAGGTTTTTATGTAAAGTAGAGAGGATTAACTAGCCTATTAGTAAATAATCCTTTATAAATTTAACTATTATTATTATTATAACTTTCTTTACTTCCTTACTTTATCTTAACTAAATCTATATTAATAATAAGTAAAAAGGAAAAAGGTAAAAAGCTACTACTAGTAATAATAGGGCTATTAAGTTAATAAATAATAAATATTTATTCCCCTTTATATCTTCTAATATTATTATTATTACTATCTTACCTCTTATAACCTCTCCCTCTTCTACCTGCTTTTATTTACTATATTAATTTAATAATATAAAGTAACTATATAAACTTTAATCTTAATAAGTTAGACGCCTGTAAAGTTAGATTATATATAATATATATAATTACTATATAGTTAGACGCTAACCTCTATAGCTACTGCCTTCTTGCTGCCTTTTAGTTAGATTTTATAGATTAGACTATTACTACTTTTAACGCTATAGGCACTAAGGTACTGTTAATATTTTATAATTACCTTATTAATAATAAATTCTTTATTAATTTAGTAAAAGGAAGGATTACACCTAAATTAGTAGACCTTTTTAATACTAATTTCTATATATAGACTAGAGAAGATATTACTTTTACCTACTATAAGTAGCCTATTTTTAACTTATAAATAAAAAACCCTAAATTTATTAATAATATTACTAGTTAGTATATTTTACCTAAGAAAAGGTTAATAATTAAATAGGCCTTATTTACTGCTTTTTTAATATTATTATAAATAGTAGCTAATATTACTTTATAAAGATAACTAACCTTATTTACCTTAACTTATCTATTAGTAGTAGATTATTACTAGCTAAAGTAGGAGTAAAAAGGTATAACTTTACTTTTATAATAAGATAAAATCTACTAGGCACTTACTAACTTAAACCTAGTACTTAGAGGTAATATAGGCACTTTATTTATTAACACCTTATTATATAATCTAAGAACCTCTTACCTTACTTATTACCTTACTTTTTACCTTACTTATTACCTTAATTATTAATCTTATTATAGCTAGTATAGTAAGTAATTAGGTAGTTAGCCTATTATAATAAATAAAGTAAATCCTTAGTAAGATATACTATTTAACTTATTAAGTAACTATAAGCCTACTACTAACTTACTACCTTAAAGCACTATATAGAGATTTTAGTTATAGGGCTATAATAAATTATAATAACGTTAGCTACTATATAAGCCTAACTTTATTTTTATTTTTTTCTTATAACCTTACTTATATTAGCTAACTAACCTTATAAAGCTACTAACTAATAAAATAAAGTATAGTAGTAAGCTATATAACATTTTTAATCTAAAGTTAAGTATCTTTTAGGATAATTATAGTAAGGTTAGGATTAAGTAGCACTAGCTTAGCCTTACCTTCTTAATTATACTAAAAGGTAAGGTATTTTAGTTTTATATTAATTATATCTATAGTAATAGTATTTATAATTTTAATAAAATAGTTAACTAAATTTATAACTACTTTAAGACGTAGGAATAAATATAGACTTACTTATCTAAATAGTAAGAAATAACACTTCCTTAAGTTATATATAATAACCCTATAATAACTAAGATCTAAGCCCTTAAGGAGCTTATCTTAAAGCTAGCCTTTATTTAATAGGCTCTCCCCTTATTATACTAAAATAATAAGGTGTTAAGAAGTTAGTTACTAAATACCTACTTTAGGGTTCCTAAGTGTGACCTTTATCTATACGCTCTAGCTATAATATTAAAAGAAGTATATAGCT